TGTACATACTGGTATAGAGTACATCTTATTTATAAACATTTGCATACATCTACCCTGCATACTTTTGCGTTAATATAAGAAATTGCAGATCTGGATATCATAATAAATAATACATTTAAATGCATTTATTCGTGTGCAAATCCTTATGTCAAACAACAGACATTGTTCTTCCCTCAGGCACCTCTGAACACTTCAGTGACTGAAGATGTGTTTAGCATTTTAACAGAGACACGCAGAATCCCTGTCCCCATGTTGCCAGGTAAAAGCCTCTGATAAGATGTTTGAATAAAAATAGTATAATGGTCTCTCACTTTGTGTGCTGCACTATAAGTCTTGAGGTGTTAACAAGTTCGATACCTAGCACTATGCACTATATGGTCAAAAAAAATCACAGAATGATTCAGATTTATTTACACTTCTGTCACATTTTTGCTACCATAACAGCCACATCTTTATGCCTTTTTCTTTATTTCTAATTAAGGAGAGCCTCAGGGATGCTAATGCCATGTGTAGTAATTTTTCCCACTGTCTGTAGGTTTGCCCATGAGAAACCATGGTAACTACATTGTGAAGTTGGGGAACGTTGTGCGCTGGCTGGGAGAGCAGGCGGAGGAGCTTGGAGTGGAGTTGTACCCTGGTTATGCTGCAGCTGAGGTGAGACCTCCATCAGATTTCTTCACAGATGGCAGTTTTCTTGCAATACAAATGTACTGTATGTTTTAAACACTTTTTTTTCTTCAACCCCCTTAAATTTTTCATTTTGGTTGATTCTAGGTTTACCTGTATCAGTGCCCATGTTGATTGTTAAGCCAAACATGATATAATAAAGTAATCAGTAGTACAATGCCTCTCCTTGTTCCTGTTCAGTCATTTTAGTTAAACATGTTTACAGTCCCCTCTCAGCTTCAGTTCTAAACATTTTATTTGTATTACATTTTAAAGGTTTTGTTTCATGATGATGGAAGCGTAAAAGGAATTGCCACCAATGATGTAGGCATTGCCAAGGATGGCTCACCGAAGGTACTGTACTGTAAAAACCCTCTTGTCTCTTGAGATCATCTTTACAGTATACACATGAGTAGCTTGGATACATCAGCCCTTTTGAAAAGATATAAAGGGCAAACAACCAGGAGCACAAACCTTTGTTTGTTTGAGGCATCAGGCATAAAAAAAATCCAGTTAACTGACCTCCTTTGTACATAATCGACTAAAAAACAGGGACTGTGTTTCATTTAAAAGGATGTTAGATGGTCTCTCAAAGATTTTGCTTATTCATGTAAACATTAAGTGTATCATCAGTATTTAATAGTATTTTAATATATAATGTATATTTGGACAGTATGTGGGCATTATGGTTACAGTATTTTCAGCGCATTGTTCTGTACATTATTATTCCCATTTAGAAAATTTTCTTCTCCTTTGGGTCTGAGAAGTTAGGATTTGACATTTTTGTGCTTTTTTTCTGCTTGATTATACCATATAAACATGAAAAGCAATTTAGTGAACTATTTTGTCTATTCAGTTACTTGTCATTCATGAAATGTATTCATTTTGTCTCTTGCTTTAGGATGTTTTTGAGAGGGGAATGGAGCTCCATGCTAAAATCACTTTATTTGGAGAGGGCTGTCATGGCCATTTGGCCAAGCAACTTTACAAGCACTTTAACCTACGTGAGAACTGTGAACCCCAGACTTATGCCATCGGCCTGAAGGAGGTAAGTAATCTGTGTCAGACCCATAAATCTCATACTGGAGAGAAACTTGGACACTCAGATTTGTTTTGTTTTGTTTTTGTTTGTTTGTAGTTGTGGATGATAGATGAGAAAAAGTGGAGGCCAGGCAGAGTGGAGCATTCTGTGGGTTGGCCTCTGAACAGGAACACATATGGAGGATCCTTTCTCTATCACCTGAACGAAGGAGAGCCACTAGTGGCCTTGGGTTTTGTGGTGAGTGGTGATATAAAGTGGTGTGGCAGTTGGATGTCATGAGGTAATAAATAACGGTAATAATATGGAGCACACATACCCAGTTGTCCACGTGATGTAGAGTAAAAGTCACTGGACCAGGCCACCTCCCTTCATTGCGCCAAGGTCCAATTCTGACACATGGCTACCCACTGTACACATTTTCACTGGTTGACAGGGGTTAACATGAGCAGTCTGACTGGCCTGGGGCTGTTCAGCTCCGTGTGCTGCATGGTGAGCTGCACCAAGTTGTGATGCATTTCTTCCATAGTGGTCATCAGTTTAATTCTATGGTCTAGATAAAAATGTTCTGGCTCATCGGTGTATATTATTTATTAAGCAGAAGAAATATTAATTTTTATATCCTGATTCTATATTTCTATATAAATTCTACAGTGGAAGTACATGGTAGATGATAATATGTATAATATGACTGTGTGCTCACAGTAACCCTTAAATAAAGTCATTTACATAAACTCAGAAGCACCACTGTCTCATAGCTTTAAGTCTTATTTATACCTCTGTCATTAGAGAGCCTGATTGGCAGTTTGCATTCAGACCAGATTAAATATTTTCTTGTTAGACTAATCAGTTCATAGTCATTACATGGCACTGCACAGAGCCCCTACCATAAATCCCTGGCAGGATTCACTTCCCTGACCAAGGCCTTTCTTGTCAGGGTAGTCACTTTGGCCGGACGCTAAGCACAGAAGCGGTGGTTCTACACTTATTCCATTTTTTTTTTTTTTAAATGCCTCCTTAGACCTGCAGTATAACGTGACCTTTTTGCTGTGACATGTTCACTATGAACTTCAAACAAGGTTTAACTACATCAGGGATAATACAAGTTGATTCCTAGCTGCAAAACCAAGAGTCTGAATAAATACTTAAATGAGGTATTTCAAGTTTGCACTTTATAGACTTGCATGGATTTCTGACAAAAAACTGGTACATTTTCATTTAACACTAACATAAGAAGATATGAAAAAAATACACTTGAATTTGAATTCATTCCTTAGCCACAGTGAATTTAGAAAGTAAAAACAAGCAGCTTTACAAATATTTGCCTGTTTGGTTTGTTATACTTGTTTGAAATAACTGAAATTAAAGCAGCACACCCCCTCTCACCACAGGTAGGTCTTGACTACACCAACCCTTACCTAAATCCCTTCAGAGAGTTCCAGCGCTGGAAACACCATCCGTTTGTAGCTCGCACTCTGGAGGGAGGCCACAGGATTGGATATGGAGCCAGGGCCCTGAACGAGGGAGGATTTCAGGTGCGTGTTTTTATTAACTAATTTTCATTATCAATAAGGGCAATTGTATGGCATAAAAATAGTTTATTATATTAATTTTCTATTCACAAGACCAGACTGAAATGAGCCTGTTGTGTAAGACAAATCATCATCATCATCATGAAACTGATCTAAATGTTGTGTGAAAGCAGCTGTATCACAAGATGTACTTAAAGTTTGTTAGCCTAATACAAGAAACACTCCATTAAATTGGGCCAGTGTCCCTGAAGACGTTGTTTTAAAATCATTCCTAATTTCATGTTAAAGTAAAGCATCAGCAGAATTCTAAAGAGTCTAACGTCTCTCCCAACAAATCTGTTGTTATAGTGCAGTTACACTGGAAACAAGCTGATCATTAAATCAGTCTAATTGAACTATAGAACTTTCACCACTGCTGATACGTTACTGTGTGTTTGGTTTATTTAATGTAAATATACAAGGTACTGCCTGTAAAGTGGTTGGTTTCCCTCATTTTGTTATCAGTATATTTTGGTCTGTCACTTATGTAATAACACTCTTATTGAACATAGATCAGAATGTGATTATAAATATGATTAAAATAGTTTCTTCACTAATGACATAATTCACAGCCAGGCGCTCTAGACTGTTTCAAACATATGATCAATTTTACCTGACAATAATGAAGTGCCCATATTTTAGAAATTGTCCCTGTTAAAATAATGTCACAAGAAAGTGGGTTGCCACTTAGAAATGCTTCACTGTGAAATAATAAATGAAACTAAATTACTTATAAATTACACACTAGTACAGCCACAGCTCATTCCACCATCTGCTGGATGCCTCCCAGTGGAGGTTTCCAGGCACGTCTGACCGGGAGAACACTCTGTAGCAGACCCAGAAAAGCTAGAGGGATTATATCCCCCACCTGGCCTGGGAACACCTCAGGATCCTGCAGGAGGAGCTGGGAGATGTTCCTGGGGTCAAGGCCATCTGGGCTGCATTGCTCATTCTGCTGCCACTGCGACCTGGACTTGGATAAGCAACAGAAAACTGTCTGAATATAAATAAAAGCTCACTTAAGTCTTCTTAGTCACATGCCATGAAAATTGTACTGTTTGCTGATAAATGACTGCATATACAGTATTATAGCATTATACTTGTTCAGGATACACAACACTGAGCACGTTCTAGAAATCCAGTTAGAAGTTTAAGGTCTCTAAAAGTAGAACACAAAGTTAAAATGGGCTCCTCTCCCTCTCCAGTCGATCCCAAAGCTGACTTTCCCTGGAGGGCTGCTGATCGGCTGCAGCCCTGGATTCATGAACGTCCCAAAGATCAAAGGTACCCACACAGCTATGAAGAGCGGCATGCTGGCTGCTGAGGCTGTTTTCCCCAAAGTCACAGCAGAGAGTGTGGATTCAGAGACAGCAGGTACACAAACACTCATTAACAATCAGGGCAGTAGCACTCGTTAGTATTGCACTTTAGATGCTCCTTTAAGGGCCATGACTCATTAAAGCAGACCTGACTTTGAGATGGTTTGATTTTTAATTCTTGGAAATGTGTTGACACATCTTTTTCTCCCAGGACTCCATGTTCCTGAGTATGCTGAGGCCTTGAAGAATTCATGGGTGTGGAAGGAGCTGTACGCAGTGAGAAACATCAGGCCGTCATTCCACAATTACTTTGGCCTGTAAGGTGGCATGATCTATACTGGGATTTTCTACTGGATCTTTTTTTAACACAGCGGTGAGTATCTTGGAGCAGACTACAGCTCGGTGTAGACTAATTTAGCTCCTGCTGCAGACCAGCAGTAACCGCACAATGCCGGTGGTTTGTCTTTAGGTGAGGTATGAGGTCACCTTATCTCAGCAGAGAACATCCACATTTTGTAACTGGCTGTGCTCGATCTGTCTCAGGTCTTGATGCAGACCAGCTGAAGCCAGCTAAAGATTGCACACCAATTGAGTATCCTAAGCCTGATGGAAAGATCAGCTTTGACCTGCTCTCCTCTGTGGCGCTGAGCGGAACCAACCATGAGGGGGACCAGCCCCCGCATCTAACCCTAAAGAATGACGATGTCCCAGTCTCCAGGAACCTCGCCATATACGACGGGCCTGAGCAACGCTTCTGCCCAGCAGGTAACAGCAATCTCCATCAGGCCTCTGTAGAGCATCTCCCATGTAATCTATGGGGGTACAGGTAGCAGTTATTGAATTCTTTCAACAGTCTATTAACAAAGAAAAACATCAATTAGTTTCCCTGAGCTCAAGGTAAAACTTTGATATTGTAGCCCACACCTGAACTGTCCTGTTTACGTTGATACAGAACAGAAGGTTAAAAGATTAATTCGTTGTCATTTCTGTTCATGCATTCATGATAAACTAATTACACCACAGTTAAGAACAAATTAATGAGCATCACTTCAAGTGGTTGTCTGCCTTTAGGTCAGTTAATTAAATGTCAGCAAATGATAAGCCTACAGTAAGACTGTTCAGACAAGTGTTACATTCCATTTTTATTGAATCAGCAAAGGAGGAACAGAAAAATTGTCCCCTGAAATAAATGAACTGGACTCGCTGCTCAGTACTTTATAAGTGCAAAAACAGAGGCTTGTTGATTGCAATGATGTCAACACTGACTGCTCTGTGTGTTTACACAAGTCTCCAGATTTTACACCTCAAAACTTGGATCGCTGCCACAACCTTTTGTTCAAAACCAAGCAAGTCCACAACTAATGTGGTGGCATTTTCATTAATGTTGTAAGGCTTTGACTGTGTTTATTAAGCCAGGAAGACTTTGCAGTCTCAGGTTATTGGATGTGTTCATCTTCCACCATCCAGTGCAGCAGTTGTTATTGAAAAGCTCAACTCTTTATTCTGTCTGACACTGGCACTCTTTGAATTCTCTGGAAAATAAGGCTTAATGATGTGTGGTCTTTGGCTGTGTTAACGTTTTGTTGAGAGGCCAAATGCAGTGAGACTGTTTGAGGGTTTTGTAGCCCACAGAGGCGGGGGACTAAAGCAGGACTGCAATTACTCTGTTCACATCACAGCTTTGGGTTGGCAGGGGTAATCATTTTTATAATTGGTTATGGTCTTAGCATTGTTGGCTGGCATGAATCAAGTTTTGTTTTTTCTTATAGGAATTTGTTAATGGTTATACTTGAACAAAGCAGCAGACAGTTGTGACAGCTGAAACCTGTCACCATCCTCTAAACCTTGGAGAATATAACTTGTCCTTTAAAGGCTGAGGGACAGGTTCATGGTTTATTAACCCTAACCTGTCTTTTATAGTAGAGGTTCTGTAGCTCCATAGACTAATCTGTGTTGCAGTGGTAATTTAACCATTTTTGCTGTGGCATCTCACTGTGCAGTGTCAGTATGTAAAAGCTGTTGTTTAATCATTTACATCTGCCATGAAATGCATCAAGACAACCATGTAGAACTTGCCACATGTTAAAATAGTCACAGAAATGTTGTTTTAAAAAGTGGTTACACTATGTAAACGACATGTCAAAAGAAAAAATTACTTAAACTGTGAATTGACCCCAGTTTTAATAGGCTCCTAAATATCTTTTCCCATATAATCACCAAATGTTCTCTGGACTCTGCCTTTGTCAAGCTTCAACAGTGTTCGCATCAGGTACCTTCATTTGTAAGCAGTGCTTAATTCAGAAAAGTGGGATTTTCCAGACTTCCACAATCAACTTCTTGCTACAGTGCCTTGCGAAAGTATTCGGCCCCCTTGAACTTTGCGACCTTTTGCCACATTTCAGGCTTCAAACATAAAGATATAAAACTGTAATTTTTTGTGAAGAATCAACAACAAGTGGGACACAATCATGAAGTGGAACAAAATTTATTGGATATTTCAAACTTTTTTAACAAATAAAAAAACTGAAAAATTGGGCGTGCAAAATTATTCAAATCCACATAAGGGATGACGGCAACATTCATAGATCCTGGAATGCACAATGAGGGGCAATGTTCATTCCTATTACAGAGGCCCACTGAAATTTTTTTGAGGAAAAGCTGTGTTAGACTGCATATTGTTTATAGTAAAGTATTTTTATATACAAATATAAAAATGAAAATGTTTCTGGAGTGGGACTTTAATTAATTATAGAAGTTGTGCAGAAGCTGCCCATAGCTCTACACAGTGATCCATGTGTGTACTGTATGTGTTTCTATGCTGCTCCAAATGAGTCTGTTCTGGTTCAACTTGTCTTATTAAATGAGCTTAAAAATAAAGTGACACCTTAGTTATAAAACACTGAGCAGGCTGTAACACACAAGAGTGTGTCTTAAAGATATCCATAAAAAGTGTCGTTTAAAGTTTGCCACAAGCCACCTGGGAGACACACCAAACATGTGGAAGAAGGTGCTCTGGTCAGATGAAACCAAAATCGAACTTTTTGGCAACAATGCAAAACGTTATGTTTGGCGTAAAAGCAACACAGCTCATCACCCTGAACACACCATCCCCACTGTCAAACATGGTGGTGGCAGCATCATGGTTTGGGCCTGCTTTTCTTTAGCAGGGACAGGGAAGATGGTTAAAATTGATGGGAAGATGGATGGAGCCAAATACAGGACCATTCTGGAAGGAAACCTGATGGAGTCTGCAAAAGACCTGAGTACTGGGACGGAGATTTGTCTTCCAACAAGACAATGATCCAAAACATAAAGCAAAATCTACAATGGAATGGTTCACAAATACACATATCCAGGTGTTAGAATGGCCAAGTCAAAGTCCAGACCTGAATCCAATCGAGAATCTGTGGACAGAACTGAAAACTGCTGTTCACAAACGCTCTTCATCCAACCTCACTGAGCTCGAGCTGTTTTTCAAGGAGGAATGGGCAAAAATTTCAGTCTCTTGATGTGCAAAACTGATAGAGACATACCCCAAGCGATTTACAGCTGTAATCGCAGCAAAAGGTGGTGCTACAAAGTATTAACTTAAGGGGGCTGAATAATTTTGCACGCCCAATTTTTCAGTTTTTTATTTGTTAAAAAAGTTTGAAATATCCAATAAATTTCGTTCCACTTCATGATTGTGTCCCACTTGTTGATTCTTCACAAAAAATTACAGTTTTATATCTTTATGTTTGAAGCCTGAAATGTGGCAAAAGGTCGCAAAGTTCAAGGGGGCCGAATACTTTCGCAAGGCACTGTACATTAATAGTTAATATTGTCCAGTTTAGGCTTCATTTGATCTTTAAAGAAATAAGATCATTAAAACTGTGATAAAACATTTTCAGATCTGAAGTCAGACATGTTGATCTGCTGCTAAAGACTTAAAAACCATGTTTGCTGTCAAATTTTCTTTTTTCTTGGTAACATTTGTTACTTGGCAAATCATGTTTTTGACCCTTCCTGACAAAGTGGAACACAAGGTTAAAAATATGTCACAAAAAAGGAAAAGGAAATTTGGGGTGGGGTATGTCACATCACTCGTTTCTCAGTCTGCTTTCTAACTAGTTGACTTTCTCTTTCCTCCAACCCTCCCAGGTGTCTACGAGTATGTTCCTCTGGAAACAGGAGATGGGATGAGGTTGCAGATAAACGCTCAGAACTGTGTACACTGTAAGACCTGTGATATTAAGGACCCGAGCCAAAACATCAACTGGGTTGTGCCCGAAGGCGGTGGTGGACCAGCCTACAACGGACTGTAAACCGCTTATTTCATTTTATTTTAACCTCTGTCTTAAAATAAGACTGTAACGGACAATGACATGTTCCGTGGCTAATGTGCCCAAATATGGAAGTGGGAAAAATGTAGCTGTTTTAAGTGTAACGAATCTTTTTTTTTTTAAGTAAGGGTAATAAAAGAAACCAGCATTACATTAGAGTGGAACAAGGTTATGCAACCCATTCAGAATACAGGACCTGCTGTAATATCCACAAAATGGGGATTTAAAAACTGTTAATAATTTGACAGCTTTTGAACAGCTCAGTATTGTATATACCGTAATATTGCTGATATCACAGTACAGAATAAAGAATACCTGGCTGTTGACCTTTGATTTATTGACTTTTGTAAAAATAACAATACAAACAAATGGATGTACTGGATGTGGCAGAGGACAAAATGCCTATAAAACAATACAACATGCAGTATATAACGTAGCTTTTACTGTCAGTAAAAACAGTTTTTCAGAGCAGTGGTGTCAGACTATTCCTTACAGTGAAGATTCTTGTCGGTTCCAAGCTCAAGCCATTCCCTTATAAGAATACACAGTGAGAAGTTCACTCAAGGGAAGATATCACAGAGCCTGTCACCTGAAAATACTGTACATTTCCCCCGGTTACAGACTCTCCTCTTCATAAGTACAGCTTCCCCTGTAGAGATAACTTCAAATATTGATATAACACTAATAGCAGCTGTATTATTGGGTGAAATGTTCATGCAAACATTTTGGCATAGATCTTCTTCTCTTTCTCCTTCTCCTCCTGGATTTTAAGTTGGACTTTCTTCATCTCGTTGACGATAGCTGTCAAAAAGAAACTGGTTTCACTTTGTTTGACAGAGCAAATCTACAAGTGAATTAATGAAACTAATCTAGTCATTTCTTTTTTTGCTGGATAATCTTGCACCTTGAATCGTATGGTTTCAAACTGTTCTTCATCGCCATGTGTCCACTTTGGCACAATGTCAAAAAGCAGGGAGTTCAGATTTGCTGAGAGCCAGATTCCACCCAGCGCTCTCCAGCTTTTACGTGTTACTTCCAATTAGTTCTCCTGAACAGCCAGTGCAGGTGTAGTGACAAAAGTTCACAATAACACGTGTTGTATTATTTACAGCACAGTGGATGCCAATTACTTTTGTCAGCTTTAACTCAGAAAAGTATTTCTTTTTAGAGTGGAACAGTACCGACACAGTTGGTCATGTCGTTTTCTCATGGGTCTCACTCAGTATTGGGATAAAGTTCTTTAAAAATTGGGACAAACTTGAACCATGAAATCCTTCTCAGTCAGCTAAACCCTGATTTCACCCCCTGGCAGCTGAGGGGCTTTACCAGTAAAGCACTGGTGTTTGTCTTTAGATGCTGAAATGCTTTTGTTGGATACAAAAATCACAATTTAGGAAGGTATTGTGGTTGTTTTGTCCCATACTCTTAAAAATGTCATTCTTGATCAGTAAAATAACAGGAGGGTGAAATGTTTTCTTGTTATTTTCACCCCCACTCAGTGTTTCCAGATGTACAATTTAACAATCATCAGTATCTCTAACATTACCAACAGTACCCTGAAGATATCCTACCATCCTTATCCGTATTATCCTTGTACATAAACGGGTGATAGTATTTAAGGGAATTGTAAGATGGCTGTGGCTTTTTTCCCAGAGAAGACATTTGGACATGTCACAGTAGGAAGAGTTTAGGTGCAAATAATCACAGTAATGATGGTTAAATTCCACTTATCTGCTTCTGTTTCAGGGTCCTGGTCACTGTCATGACCTACTTGGACACTTGAACAGAGCAGATTATTAATGTTATGATTAACACCTGTTTTATGGACCATGACAAGTCAAAATGTCTGCTGTGACAAAAGGCCTTTTCTGTCATTATGTAACTGTGTTCTAAAACCCACCACTATCGAAACACTGTTAATTGTTAACGCCAGGCTGTCTGCTCCCAAAATGTCAACACTTGGCTCTCTGTAATCCCAGTGCTGAGTCATCAATCAAAGTAATTCATTGTCGTTTTGCAATTCAACTGACATTTACTAAATTCAACTAGGAGGAACAACAAAACTAAGGGACCTTTTCCTGCAGTCCTGGACTATTTTTCTTCATGCTCTTGCTGAATAATCTTGTTGAATTTTGAATAATACATGTGAATACGCATGAAATGTTAAATTAACTAAATAATCAGATTGCTCACCTTTGTCTTCTGGAGCTGTTTCCTGCGCTTTCTTGAGCTCAGTCTGTCAAGACAAAAGCACAAAAACAACAAACTGACCTCAAGAACAAGACACCCGGATTCTGTCTAGTCTAGACAAGCCATGTAAATGTGAAGTAAGTATGAGCAGTCACTTGGGTCTGTCAAATGCTCAACTATATCACAGTTTCCACTGCAACTCAAGCAAATACCTCAAGCACAATCAAGTCACGTGCTGCCAATCATGACATAATCAATAAACGGACAATAACACATATCTACACACAAAAAAAACTCCCAACCTCTGATATTTTTTATTTCTCAGCAGTAGGAGACAGGGGTGCTGTGTGGACATTACCATGGCTTTGCTGTATTCCTTTAACCCCTGCCAGGCCTGAGCCCTCCGGAAAAGTGCCTTAGTGTTTACTTGGTCCAGCTGTAGAGCCTATATGACACAAATGGAAATACACATCAAAAAAGACATTGTCCTCCTTTTTTTGTTCATCAATTTAAGTAGATTTATTTATTTTTTATTTTCTCCTACCACTGGTTAGGTTGGATCTAACCAAGAATTTAAGTGCATCTGCACATATATCACATTTCTGGGAAGCTGACTTACTTCTGATTCTAAGTAGAACATAACGTATATCCCATACCATAAACGACCTAGGAATTTAGTTTTCTTTCATCTCCATTGGCTGCCTCACAACCACACAGTAGTAACAAGTGTCTGTATAACTGCTCCCAGCCAGAACACACTCACCTGTTAAACCCACAAGTTGTCCTTTTTACACTTTGATGTTTGCGAGGCTAAAACTAACAAGATAAAACTTCTTAATTATGGAGCTTTAAAGGTACCGGTAGGTGGACTCTGTTACCTTCAGATGGCACCAGGCTGTCTGTTTCTCACTGTTTCCAGTGTTTATGCTACGCTAGCTAACCAGCTGGTAGCAGTATACGTTCTTAGCATGTGGAGCCTGAATGGCACATGACCTATTCACTCTGACAGCAATACAAGAGAACCACAAAGAAAATCTGCTTCATGTGTACATTTGTTATGTTCTGGCCTGTGTCACCTCATTGCAGGTGTCCAGAGCATCCTGCCACAGCTGCATCTTCAGCTTGCAGGCTGCTGTGTTGAGGAAGCAGCTGAGGGCTACGGGCTCCAGCTTCTGCTGCCCCTCCTCCTCCAGCTGATCTCCACTCACCTCCAAGTACCTGTAGGCAGAAAAAACAGGTTCAGTCAGTGGTTCAAAATTGGATCCTGATGAGCAAGAGGCCAGGCACTATCAAGCCTAAGCTGCTTTACGGTGGGAGCAAACAAATACATGTGCATACAGTGACACCGGTGTTTCACAGACCAGTTTAGGCTGTTGGTGAGTGTTGTGCAGCAGCTGGCCAATTCAATCAAAAAAAAAAAAGTATTGATTTGACATGTAATGATCATAACTTGAGAATGAATGATGCAAATAACTAAACTGGTGCAACTTTGTTTTGTATGCTGATCTTGTCAGTCAAATTATATTTGAATTTTCAGATGAGAAAAACTGGCTCACGAAGAAAGGAACAGATGCTGGTGACCATGGAAGAGCTGTGGCCAGTGAAGCACAGTAAGACTGCCAGCTACTCATCTTTTTAGTTAATAAGGGGATGGTTCTTTTTACTGGTAATGAGTAAACGCATGAATAAACAAATCTACACAAAATTTAAGGTAATTTTAAACTATCTGTCCACTGACATGTAAATTGGTTTCTGGTGTCACCAAATCTAGTCCTTAAAAATATGTAGTATATACTTTTATGGGCAACCAATTCGCTTTAACAAATTTGGAGCCGAGTGCACCAGACACACACATGACCCACAAAGTTTATTTCAATGGTTAATAAAGGTTGTTGTGTCTTAAAGTAAATCACTCGCACAGTGATACTGTACATTACCTGAGGGCTTTGCTGTATTTGTTGACAGCAGCTTTCCAGTCTCGATTCTTAAAAAGGTTGTTTCCTATAGTCTTCACATCCTCAGCAACAGACAGAACCTTATCAACCTGAAAGTAAAAAATGCAAATGGATACTTACAAATATGAACAACTCTGTCTTTTGGACAATTTATATCTACAGGTTCAATTTTGAGAACAGACATGTCACTAAAACAAGGTCCATTGGGCAGCAAACAAAAAGTTTAGCTAGACTATTTAAACCACTTTATTTGGAAGTGAAATCAAAAGTGAGCACACCCAAAATGTCGGTAGTAGTCAATCATCCCTCATTTTGAGGACAAGCCCTCGATCTTGTTTGTTAACTCTTCTCCTCTGTGTCCAGTGTTAAACGTGTCCTGATCTTGAACTGAATTTTATATTGATCCCCTCATCTGACTTTGGCCAAGACAACAAACAGGCTCAAATGAGGCCTACACAGAAGGCTTGTGTTGTTCACCCATGTCCTTAAAGATCAAGGTCCTCACTGATACTTACATCTTTAAAGTCAATGTCAGAGTCCTCAGGGAAGTCTGGGTGGATGTCTCCTGATCCATCATTTGGGGCTACGCCCCAGCTGTCCCCGTCCTTGTGCTCACCACAGTCTGCTATGACACATGGCTGCAGAGGTGGATGTTAGCACAACTTTTAGACATTAAAGTGTCATTATAGTACACTATTTATAGTGCACCAAAACACCTGAAAACACCACCGTGGTGACCATAGTGTTAAACCAAAGATTATTAAGGATTACAATGGCACTTGGATATGTAAAACTAGGTACCATCTTTATAAAACTTAAAGATATTATTTTAGAATTAAAGTGAAAACACATACCTTTACAGGGGCATTGTCATTGGTGTCAATGGACTCCAGTATTTTCACGACTCCCATCCCTTTTAACACCTGTCCAAAGACCACATGCTTTCCGTCTAAGTGCGGCGTAGGGACAGTGGTGATGAAGAACTGTGAGCCGTTGGTGTTTGGCCCAGCATTGGCCATGCTTAGCAGACCCACCTTGTCATGCTGCATTGAAAGAAAAGAAATCATTACAAAGGAGAATTAAACAAAAATCACAATATGAACATGCACAAGAACATTTGGCAATGAAAAGATTGATCATTTCAATGTAAACTGTAAAAAAGATTGTGGGACTTTTTGTTTTTTGTTCCGTTTGCTTTTTTTTTTTTTTTTTTTTTTTTTTAGAAAATCACAAAGACCTCTGTATATTCTTCAACAACATTTATAAACCAGGACATCCTGAAGGAATATCCCTGAACGGTTATATATGCCAAAAGCCTGTAAGTGAGAAGTGTCTTGGTCTCCCTAATTTAGCAAAAAGAAAGGTAACATGATGGATGAACAAACTCCATAAATTCTTTGTAATCTTCCCTAGTAAAGTCATACAGTGTGATCAGATGTTTTACCTTATAGTGGAAGTTTTCATCCTCAAACTTCTCCCCATAGATGCTCTCTCCACCAGTGCCATTATGGTTGGAGAAGTCACCTCCTTGGATCATGAACTTCTTGATAACTGCCAAAACATTTACAGTGAAATTACGTTACCAGACAAGAAGTCTGAATGTAACTGGAGCTTTAGGCTCCTTTAAACTCAAATATTAAAAAACCTAAAGCTCAATTAGTATTTTTAAATTCCACCTCCTTACTTTGTGTTTAAAATAAGTCTCATGACTGTTAAAGCATATTTTAAGTCAGTGGGTTTTCTTTTACACTAACAGGTCAGTTTAAATGTCCAATGTTGACAGTTCTTCTGTATTTTATGTATTTGTAAATTAAACCCTGAATTTGAATCTTAGTCATCTATGTAATATTATTTATGAGAGATTGTGGTGACCTGACACCTTCAATACAACAGATTGTATTTTAAACAAGTGGTTTCAGGTCCAAGCAAATAAAAGTTCTCCAAATAGCTTAGTGGTGTTTCAGCTACTTCATGTGTGTGCATGTGTGTGCATTAGAACTTCAAGGTTTCATTCCCAAGTGAAGTTCATTATGTTGTATGCAGATATGAAGGCTGTTTACTTCTGTGGAACGGGCATCCTTTAAAGTGTAGAGGTTTCCCAGTGGATTTGCCAGTGCCTTTCTCTCCAGTGCAGAGTGCCCGGAAGTTTTCAGCGGTCTTGGGGGTGATATCGACAAACAGCTCCAAAACTATTCGGCCAGCTGTAGATAGAAAGGTTTGGTGTAATTTATCTGTACAAATTAAAACCCCTTTTATGACTAAACCATCTACAATATCATCTACTGCACAAAGGTTTGGTCCAAAACATCATAAACTTACTCTTACTTGACAACAAAGATAAAGTAGAGCAGCACATGAATGTTTTCTGGATGCATTATAGTTAAGTAACCTGACAGTGGCATCTAATCTACAGAAAAGACCTTGTCAATCAATAATATATCACAATGCATTATCTTTAAATTACCTTCAGTCCGTTAAATAATCAGTACATTGCTTATTCCAAGGTAACCAGATAATACAATTACCAGTGGTATTACAATGTTATAAAATTAGCTAACTAAATTAAGGTAGGTAGTTGGTAACAGGTGTTAACGTTACTAGAAAAAATAACCACAGGTGGCTCATGTATTCACAAGAAACAAGCTCTCTAAATAACATTCGTCTGGCTTAGAGAGTTCTCACAATAAACAGTGATTACCTATACAAATATTTTTATTTTACAAACTGCCGTATTCTTCTGCTGTAACTTTTCTAGAGGCGGGTCAATTCATCGGTCTCTAGAAGCCACCAGAACAAGCCAGGACTATGCTAAGCTAACAAAGCTAACGGTTAACCCGGCATTGAAATTTAAATTGTCCTGACCTCTTTCTCCATCGATGTCTACATCGAGAAAGACACGGGAGTTTTCAGGGTTTGAAGGCTTGTCGAATGGTGCTGGATGAGACATTTTAAGGTCAATGCTATTTTAAGACACTTGTGATAGCTACCCTAGCTAAACCCGGCCGGTGCACTGGAGCAACCTCAATGGGGCAATCCACCCACGAACGACTAAGCATGGAAACGATTCAACTTCCGATTAGAAACTTCAAAATAAAACTACTGACGACAATCCATTGTACCGCTTTTGAGTATTAAGAGGCAAATAAATAGCTCATAAATTATAGGCTATATTTCAGTTTATCTTAAAGTTATCTCGCCCTCAAAATGTGCTTTTCCCAGCCACTATTAGGAAAATAGAAATCACATCGAGCCATAGTGAATAAAAGACACATCTCTTTTCACAGCTCACATTTTCTGTTAGTCTAAGTAAGCAATAAAAATTGACGTTATAGATAAAAATCTATATCAGAATCACATTACAGTAAACTACAGTAGGCTATACCATGATATACAGTAGTAGCCTAAGCTCCATAAGTAGATTTTCTAGAAATGTATTTGATAAACAGTTAAAGTAACCAGAATAATGTTTGTTTCCTGGTGTCTGGCAAATTAAACTCTTGACACCTAAAAGGATTTCATCATAATGATGCAAAAATCATACCATGATCCAATTTAACCTTAAAGAAGTCATGCTCAGAAAAGATATTCTGACATAGGCTATCACCGTAGGAGAAGCACAGATGTAAATAAAATGAATAGCTGATTTCCACTGAAATGCTTTGGGAACTACTTACTGGGACAATTGCATATAATATTGTTAATATTACTGTAGTAACACTGGTTCATTTCCTACTGAGAAGTTAAAATGTCAGCTCAAAAATGCCTGTTTTTTTTTTTTTTTTTTTTATTTGAAACATTGCTCAGAAAGCCCCAACACTGCCAGAGGTGTTGAAGGGTTACATAATCTCAAGGTCTATATTCTCATATTGCCCAGTCCCCTTATTGTTTAGATTTTGGTTTTGAATTCTCATTGAGGCAACAGTATAGATCTCCATATTCACCAACCAAATGATTAATTATCCTGAAGCCTGTTCTGATCTGTACCAGGCAATTCAAGGCATTTCTTGTGTCATAGATAGGCTCTGAATTTATCACCTTTTACAATATTTGAAAAAAAATGTTGCCCATGGCATCCCTGTGTGAGGTGATTTAATGCTTTGTTGTCTGTAATTGGGCTGGGACAACCTCTAAGGGGTCTTAAGATAAAATCAGTCAAGATGGTTATCAAGTGGGAAGCAGAAAAAAAGGTTTTCTTCAGATTTCTACTAAACTTAGCTTTTTTTACTTGTGCAAAATTGGATAATTGTACTTCTACCAACCTCTATACATTTATTCAAAAATGTAGTCCACCTGTGCCTGTGGGTCACACAAGTAAACAATGCTTTGATTGAGAGGTCAGCTTCAATTTCCTTTTAAACCATCATTATATAATAGGTTGCTTTCAATCTAAACACTCACCTTAAAACATGCTGTGGTTGAATTTTATTGAAACATTGAAGGCATTTACAAGACTGTGTTAGTTCAGGGGTCTTTGAAGAAGTTGGGTTGCTCAGTTAAGTACATCTTAAGCAATATTTCCCCTCTAGGTTTAATTAGGTGATTTTCCAACCATTTTAGCTTATGACACCAGTTATCTACACCAGACATACTGTATGTGGGTATGATTGCTTTTGCCATGGGGCTGGATTATCAGATGCTTCTCATACAGGAATGGAAAGTCTACATTTATCTATGACAGTGTTAGAGGGGTTATCACTGTTATGTCTGAAAATAATCCCCAGTATGAGGAGATTAGTTATTGTTAGAAGTTGGACAAAGAAACTTTTTCAACTTTGTTTGCCTAGTTTATATTGTCAAGATGTACACTAGTTATGAATTCCATTGTGAATTACAACAATCAAGTGGAGTTATAAACTTTCCATGAACTTTCACAGGTGTGTGGAGCTGTGCAAGACAACAGTCTACCTGATACCAAAAATGATGTGAAGAGCTCGAGAACATGAAAAAGGAAACTATTGAATAGTCAACATGTTAATGGGATTAAAAGATCAAACGTGAAGTATCTCATTGACAGTCAGGTCCTCCAGCTGTCGGAAGTGGTAGAATGCCATCTGCTGTTAGCTCTGACTGTCTCTGTGAAACTTGGTGTTGACTTGTTGTGAGTCATCTGCCATGTTCTGTCTGGGAAGAAACAAATATGAAGCCATTAGATGCCACAAGAAATGGTGAAAAAAAAAAATCAAGGAGGATTTAATTGACACCACTGGTCCACATGTACATACTGGGGTGTTATTTTTAATTGGCTTTACATCTTCTCATATGCTGTATTTTCACACAGTCATTTATTTGTTTCTTTTATAATCTCTCACACATCCAAAAGCTGACATTCACTGGATGCAGATGACTTTGCCCATTCACAAGGATATGCTGTCTTGTTTTAAGCTGTAAGTTTCAAAGGCCCCATATACAGTATTGAGTTTTATGATTAACATCAGGAAAATTTGTTTTACAAATAAGTGAAAGTTTGTCATAAGGTAAATGAATGAAGAAACAGACTGAAGGTATTAAAGGCAGACAGTTATTGTACAACGCCTGATCCTGACTGACTGACAACAAAGGCAGCTCAAGTTACAATGATGTTCACCTGCTTGGTACAGCACTGAATGTTCAGGAGCACTACATCATATATGTGCTGGAATATATGTATATTATAGGATGGAATTGAAGCAGTGCAATAACTTTTAATGAAAACACTCAAACCCCATTTTGACTGTGGCCGTACAAATGATTGTTAATGCGTCCTATTTCATTGCTGGTATCATTGTTCTGTGTGTTTTTGTTGTATGTGCTAACATTTAGTATAAATTCCATAGTGTATTTTGTGATATTCGAGGCTTCTGATGTTTTTTTTTTTAATGCATGCAGGTTATTTCAGGAATAACAAACTATTTGGCTAACACTGAGAAAATGACATAGATTAATGTGCACTGTCTGCAACAACAATAAATGTCTAAAACCTCACAGTCTTTGTCCCATGAGGCTGTAATGCTCATTAGACAACAGAAAACAAAAATACTGAATAAATAAAAAATGTAGAAACACACACGAGTGACAAATTTAAAAAATGTTTTAGTAATGTGGTGGGTCACCACAAAACAAACAGAACTGCTTTAGTGCTTCTTAACCTAGATTCATTGTCTTTGTTATTTTTAAAGTTTATTTTACTGTAAAATGTTTTATCAAGTTTGTTAGGTGGCTGATGATGAACTCATGACAGTGTTTGTGAAATAAGTGTTGTTTAAGTAATTATAAAGTGTCATGGAGGGAAATGGGGATCTCATATTTGTAGTTACTTTGTGTTTAAGGAGTAAATAATGTAGCTTTTGTATTTATATTGTGACAGATTTTTTTTTCTTGACTGAAAAGCCTGAAGTCCTGCAGAAATGGAAGTGTTGCATTATGAATGGGCAAGTAGATAAGTTACGGTGCAGTCATTCAACACTGTGCAAGCAAACCTGAGAAGTTCTGAGCAATGGTAACAAAAGACATTAAACATGTCCAAACTGCAGGTTACAAATGTTGTCTTACTGTTTGTTCTGAAACCTGTGAGTCACTCTGTCCTCCAATGCCATCCGTATGTCAGTTTTCTGTCACAAAAAGAGGACAAATTCCAGTTAATTTATCTCTGATTTGCTTTAAAAAAAAATAATTCAGCATGTTACATCATGATAATTCTGGTTTTCCTGAGTGGGAAAATGAAAACACACATTTCTGGATATGAATGTGCAACATTTTTCACCCACAACATGTAAAATCAATATGTACAATGTCACAAGTCAACACTTATTATTTATTTAGCAAAACTAGTAACCTAACAAACTACTTGCCATAATAAAATGAAGTGTTTGCCAAACAAAATATTAGAAATTAAAAAAAAAAATCAGATCCACATTTGATAAATTGTTTGTCATATCAAGCTAATTCTCTATGAGCATGTATTCTCAGTATAACCTGTTGGTGCACATTAGCCAGAGGATAATGCCTCTACATAATCATTTGCATAAACTGCACAGGGTGGGTTCTAGCTGTACTCTACCTTAATTTGCAGATTGCTGAACAGTGTCCTGCTATTCAGCAGCTGGTTATACTGCCAGCCCCAGCCAACTTCCCCTACATAGCTCTGCTTGGGCATAGGAGGAGGGGCATGTGTTGCAGCTCGCCATAAGTAACTCAGGTCACCTGTGGCCTCAGGTGATGAGGCACCCACACCAATATAAAAAGGGAAATAATTTGATCTGGGTCTGTAATCTCCAATTCCATCTGGGCCTGGTCAGAAACAGGGGACGTGAGAAACAGAGATAATAAAATCTATGAGAAGAACCTGAATCCTGTACTTACACATGTGATTCTAGGACACAGATTAAAAAGAAAGCAAGAGACATAAAGGTTAAAGTATTGTCCAATATAAACAGCATACATTATAGAAAGTAAGAAACACCATCATTGTACAGAGGTAGTAGAAGCCATTGAAGAGAAATAAATCCCTTATGTAAAGTGAAAAAATAAAAGAATGCAGCCATTCTGCATTTAACTTAGGGCAGTTTGTAACAACAAATTATTTATCATTAGAAAAGAATTAATGTTTGACAGAGCATGAATTCTCTGTTTTTTTTTTGTTTTTTTTTTGGTTAATTGTTTTGTATGAGTAGTTAACGAGATGTTTTTTCAGTCCTCAGGAAACGTTCAAGTGCCCTCTGTCATATAATGGAACAAACACAGTAACATAAAATTTGATGTTAGCACATCACACTGTAAGTTGTCTAATGCATGAATTATGACATTGTAAGAACACATCTACATCAACAATAGCATACCTTAATATACACACTCACAAATAAAGTATGTCAACTTAATTAGGCCCTGGTTACAATGCCATCATGTCTCCAGTTACATTTATATTTGTTGGACACAGACCATGTTCTTGGATATTATATAATAGTTGTACAATGCTTTTATATTTTGCATAATCTCACAGGAAACTGTAGTCTAATGTTCCCACCAAATAGCTGTTCATACAGCATCAAAGACACTGCTTCAGTTTTACATCTAATTGCACTCAGTTGAACGACACTAGAAGCACATTCTCCCCAAGCTTCTCCTACCTGTAAAAATGATCCTTTGTCCACACTGTGGCTTTTCTGCAGCTGCTTCACTGTTTTGCATCCTTTCTTTTCTTTTTGTTATATTTGGATTCCAGCTGAATGCTAGATACACCTACATGGGCACCCTTGGGTGATAACCTGAGCCCAGCAGTGTGCTCTGTCCATGGGGTCATGGTTGGTTGTCATGCAACCGCTGGTTGCCATTACGTCAGTGCTCATGGCCTAGTTACATTCTAAAGACAGGGGAAGTTTCTGCCATTCAAGCATGTCCAATTCACATTGCATTTGATCCTAAGTTATCCCATATCACTTAATGAAATAAATAAACATGAAAAGATTCAAGATTTTATTCACCATTTATGCATAAACACAGTCTAGGCATATAGGAATTCTTGTGCAGGGCTCTCCTGGAGTCAAGTAAAGAGTTTAAAGCCCAAAGAACAAACACCTAGTCTAAATATATGATCACCCAAGAATACAAAATAGTTGATAAAATTATGGATACAGGAATAAGATAGCAGGTAAAATGGGGAGTTTAAAATATTGCACATAGCGTAATTGTATATGGTCATCGACTTAGTATGGTAATGAGGGGTTATTGCAAAGGTTTTTCACATTTTGTATTTGCCATCAGTCTTACTGCAGCAGGGAAAAAGCTGTTGTAAAATCTTGTTCTGTGTGTGATGATACTGTTTGCTCTGCTGTGCCTGAGGTTGCGGGTGCAGTTTTTGTGTCTAAGCAGAGTGTGAGCTGGGTGGAGTGGGTCTCTCTGGTTATGTTCTCTACTCTTTAGCAACAGTGCTATGTGTATATTGTGTCCATAGCAGGCAGAAAACAGAAATGCCATAAAACATTTTTGATTATAATGCCTGGGTAACATATCCCTTTGTATTCTTTGGATCCTAAACAATCTTTTTTTTTTAATCATCTTGAGTAACGACTTCATCTGAATATGTATATAATTGCATTAGTTGGTCTATTGGACTTATTATACATTTACCTTTATATATACCTTATATAGTTCATACATAATGGCTGCCAGAATTCTATCTATCTATCTATCTATCTATCTATCTATCTATCTATCTATCTATCTATCTATCTATCTATCTATCTCCCCTCTCTGCAGCATACTGCTGTAGCATGAAGTCCCCCAGGGAATTACTGCTGTCTTATCCTACCTTACCTTACACCACATACAGACACTGAGTTTTCCAGTTTTCTCTTCAGGATCTTGTGGAGGTTTAAAGTTATCATTGCAGTTCAGTAATACTGAGTTTAGAATGGCTTTTCCAAAAAGGTTCTAGAATTTTCTGTTGGTGAAAAGTGCATTGACTGGTAATATGTTTTTCAATCTGATGATTTCAACCTTGCTTTAAAGCTGACTCTCAGAATATAACGTGTGTCTGTGGCACGTAAAAATTAATTACCGTGTAATTTTCCCACAGATTACGACAAGACATTACATACTTTATTTTCTTATTTCATCCGAACCTGATTACATGTTTAATAATCGTGACATCTTGCATTTTACTGTATGAATGGATCTACGGGTGTATTCCCCTATTTAGCCCCTAGGTGGCATCAAAGACTCTTACATCGCTCTTCACCTCCCACTGCTATTCTTTACTCTTTTTTGTTCAATGGACTCACCCATGAGCCGCCCCTTGTCTAAATCTCTGTCAAGACAAAGATAGAGAACAACAGCTACACAGGAAGTGCAATGATTTTTCTTTCAGAATAAGATAATGCAATTACTAGAGTAAAGCATTTATAGTAAATGCAAAATATTAGCAAATATTAACATCGAAACACTCAGTGAATTAAATATTAGAATAAGCTAAAACCTATATCAATTTAATTATATTGTTAGACTATTATATAGTACCTGTCTGGTAAACAATGGCAGGGCACTGCAGTCCATTGCATATTATGTGTCCTAGCTGAATTTCCTTTGTATATGAAAATGTGCTATATAAATAAATTAGCCATGCCTGATATGTAATTCTCATTTGTTTCTCAGTTTAAGTCTGTTTCAATGTAAGGAACGAAAAAGACGTTTTCAGGAAAATCTCATCAACGTGTTCATTTACCACAGACTGCACCAGATATAATATTGCGCTTTGAATTTACATGAAGCACGTTGCTCTCTTTGGAGCTTTATTTTGAAAAGATTCCAAAGAGGTGCCTTAATATAATGTGTCCGACTTGACAATGGTGTGTCAGTCACCATGGTGGCACACAACAGAGCACAGTGGCGGATCTTTTTCACTTTTAGACCCATTATAAAAAAAATATAATGATTTTTCTCAGTGAATATCCCCCGGTCTATCTATCATAATGGACGCCAGGCTGTTGTTGACGGGATAACTGTTAGTCTTTAGTTTACTTTTTTGTTTGCTGGATCCTACATGGAATTTCTTTTCGTCGCTAGCTGAAGACACAAGGAATTGCTTTGATGAACACTGGTTGGAATAAAGGCACGTTTTTCACATTAACAGAATCGTTATAAGAGACTGTTTCAGCCGAGATTCTGAAAGAAGTTTCCTCTCGGAGGGACTGCTGTTGACAGCCGGTTTCGACTTGGGTAAGAGAGAGACGGACATCCCGAGGAGACCGCTCGGGTGTCTGGCTCCAGTCGTGGCCTGGCCCCGGGCACTCCCAGCTCATCTGCTAGCGGCGGAGCATAGGCGACGAGAACAAAACCAGACAGCAGAGGAACTTGTGTTGAATCAGTAATACCCGGGCCCCTGGATACTTATAACCACATTTTCTAGGACAAGGAATTCCGTATCCTCCAGACGGCGTCTTCCAAAACAATGGCGTCCTATGTGGACAACAGCTTTCGCCAGGCTGTGATGATGAATCCAGCTGAAAGGACGCAACAGGTCAGATAAAATTGTTTATTGTGCTTAACATCTAATTGAAGTTGCATTCCAAAGTGTTTCTTGTGGCTGTTTTGTCACTCACTTGCTACATTGTAACACTGCAACATCCGCCGCCTTGTAGTGTCCGAAACTGCGGCAGTGTTGTGTGCAACTGTTGCCATTCAGCCTATTCCAGTGTTACGTCTGGCGACATCCCGCTAAGACCTAACGTTATATCAGCACGGTTAACCACAGACACTTAACCCAACAGGAGGTGCATCCACGGGGGAGAATCTAACCTATCGTGTACCATAGGTTTGTGCCACTTGTTTAACGTCTGAGGATTTTGCATTTTGCATTTTGCAGAGGTTGTCTGTCTTGGGCACTGCCGAGTCTTGCATCTTGCAAAACAGACATTTTCAAGGTTGCAAAGATGTGGCTAATCCTAATTTAGCCAGCAGCCCACATTGGCTCAAAACAGACGTTGTTCCCAGCCATTTGTGGTGGATCAGGGGACGGTTTAAACTCATTCTGAGCTAGGCCTAATGTTGGTATTCTTTTCTAGCTTTTGCATTTCCAGGGGCCCAGTAAACAAGGCCTGCTGTTCGTTCCTGAAACCACCTCGGTATCATCTGATAATGCCAATAGTTTCCTCGCTTGGATGACTTCTGAACATGCTGTAGGCTATTATTGTTATCCTTGCTTGAACCACACTTGCATGGCTCCAGATATTAGCAGTAATGTTTTATACATGGAGAATAAATCCAACGTGGCTCCAAAGACAGTGTCATTTCATTGGAGCACTGGCTCCACTAGGATGCTGATGTAGCAAAGGCTTCACACACAATGGACAATCAATAGACCACCACATAAACCAGTGGGCTACAGCTAGTGGCACAGCGGCCTGCCTGTCTGTGTGACATGGAGGAAATAATTAGGGTGTCACTGATGGCTTGTTAACACTATAGGCCTATGATCTTTACAGCTTTATGCAGATATGGGTGCCAATGGGATTTATGGAAACTAACACAAGGATACAGAATCTGGTTGGCATCTGTGGCAGCAGTGTTCATGCAAGATAGGACCGAGAATATGTGTGTTGGAATAATAATAATAATAATTATTATTATTGTCATCCCCATAGATTACAAAGTACCTGTCACTATTTTGAAAACATTCAATTAACTATCATATATAAAAAGGAAAATCTGTAAATCACTATTTTTGAGAAGCAACCAGGTTATGTTTAGCATTTTTCTTAGGAAAAATGAACTGATACAAGTAATTTTATATCAAAACAGGTGACAAGTCATTTTCCGACGCTCACTCTATCAAATCCACTAAGTGTTTCAGCTGTTGGATTGGCACTGGTATGTCAGGTTGCTTGTATTGTTTTTCAGCCACAGGGGTTTAATTTCCCATGAATCATGTGATTTTCTCAATAGGAAGTCATTGCGGGTAATTCTGATGATATGATCCTTTAAAAAGCAACTGGAAATTGCTCTGCAGTGTTCCCTTTCACTGATATGGAAGTGCAAATATGACGCAGAGCTGACCGTCTGTGTAACACCTGTGACATAACCTGGTTATCATGCAGAAAAATGTGCAGTGCATCATAGTCAGATTCTTGGTTTTTGAGTTTTGTCCAACCTGTCAAGTCTGGGGATTTGGTGCGAACCCATGTTATGACAGTATACAGACCTGTTCCGGGTGCACTCGCCTCTCGGCTCCAGCTCCCTCACAACCCTCTACAGGATGAGCTGTTTAGATGATGGATGGATGGATTTGTCAGTCTACAAACATTTCATCCAGGAAGTCTTTGAAATGATGAAACATGAATTGTACAGTGACATAATGACTGATGTTTTACCAAGATTTAGATGGAAAAAAATCAGAATTGAAAGGAAACACTGCATCCATGTACTTTTGCAGTTGTGTCAGTTCAGCCCTTTTTGTCACAGGAATTAAAGCCTGCAGGTTTTGACTGTCGTGTGATTGCTCCTTTCTGTTGGTCATCTCCTTTGTCGTTTTCAATAGCAGCACCTTTCCTGGTGTTCAAATGCTCAGTGAGTGTGGAGGTTGACACAGTTTATCCTAATGTTGTCTATCAGGATTAGCTGACGGTTAGAGGGATCTGCCAGTATCGCTCAAGACCTGTTGTCACATGACAGGTTAAATAACTGACCTCTTGACAGCTAGTGTTCACACCGGACTTGTCAGTTTGCTTTGCTTGGTTTTGGACTGTAACTGGAAATGTGCTGAAATTTTGACCGTACACTAAGGAAAGTATTTCTCAAACGTGCAGGTTCTCAGCAGCTCTGGACTGGACATGTTAGTTAATGGTAAATTTTGCCAAATATATAAGGCCACACATTTCACCTACTTTTCTCCAATCCAGCCTTACATTTAACAGATTTTTTTTATTTAATCTTACATTGGGTTGCATAGTTAATTTAACAGTCTCATGGGGTTTTATTCTAAAAGAGCTTCTATACTGCTGTCTTATTGTTCTCTGTAGAAATGACTGCACGTGACCGTACCTGGACAGTTGTATCAGATTGCCTTAGGAGAGCGATTAAAGTATGGGTCTTTACTAAAGATATAGGATTGGTTTTGCAGGACACCACAGTATCTATGAAACACAAACCCTCAGTTTGATTGTTTGTCTTACAGAATAAACAGTTTTAAGATGCATCCCTGGGCTCATGATGGATGTTTCTCATTATTCTTTGATATTCTATGTATTTGTAGCAGTTCCATTTGCATCATATGACCATTGTATTAATCAGTGCTTAAAATAAACAGTCACACTCAGGCTTTGTTTGTGAAAGTGGTTTCTATGACATGTTTGTTTGTCAGGTCACTAGGTGGGGGTTGTTTAAAACCACCCAACTCTGAGATCTAGCTTCTCGCATGAAGTTAGTGATCATGCAGAACATCCACTAGCCTCAGGTTTTGGTAGATGGAGATGCTATAATATATCATATATTGAGCCATTTTGCCTGCTTAACTCTTCAGTCCAAATTGTATTGAACCGGAATAATGTTCTTGCACATTTTAGTCTTGGCTGCAAATGTAATGTCATTATACTTCGGACTGTAAAGGCACTGAATTGAACTTATTATGACTGTATGCATCTTTTTATTCAACAGTGTTTTGGGAAGCACCCAAGAGTATGAAACCCAAGAGTGCACCAGCTAATCAGGAAATAATGAGTGAACTCACTTTCTGCTGTCTCACAGGAGCAAAAACCAGCACACACCTGGTCCTCCGTGCTAAACAGATGAATACGCCTGCTTTTGCTGCCCTGTTTCTTTTCAGCAAGTAGCTGAACTCGGGACAGATATGTCTTACGTAGCCAGGTGGCAAAGCTAAAGGCCACAAACAAGAGTCCTCTGCTGCCAGGACCTGTCCATAGCTGGAAGGACAAGCTGCCTACTTTACATTGTTTCCACATATTCTGGACCAAGCCAGGAGATCAGGGCAGGTTTGCAGTGACTATATGGAGACAAGGGAGAAAACCCAACTATTTGGGCATGTAGTGGACATTCATGACCTCTGTCATTTGCCATGAATACATTCATGTTAATGTCTAGGCTTAGCTGCAAGAGACAGACCGATCCCACTGGTATTCAAAACAAATAAAATATTCCAGCGTTTGCTGAATGATCATGATGTGATAGAGACATGCCAGCTATATAACAGATTGCCATCTATAAAAATGATACAGATTATAAATTCAGCTTAACCTTTAGAGCCCTAACAAATTAGTGTTTAGTTGACAATCGGCCTGTTCTGGAAGCCGTTTGTACAGGTTCTAGAGTGACTGACAAAGCAGCCCTGTCTCTCAGCATCCTGCCCAGTATAAGCAGCAGGAAGAGGAAAGCGTCAGGATGCTTTTTGAACTCAAGCAGGAAGGGAAGGATGTCTTGACAGTGGAATCCATTTCCCCCGAAAGCTGTTTTCGTTTTTCTTAAGCTGGGTGTTGTTTTGTGACTGCCTTCCTATTTTTGTCAGGGCATCAGAAGCACATTATCATCTATTTAAAAACCTCTCAGGTCACTATCTCAAAAAGTAGAACAGATCTTTTTTCTACAGGAGCTGTAATGGTGCCTGTTAATTTAGGCACCGCTTGCCTTGGTGTTTGTTTGTACTCTGCAGTGCTAACCCTGTACAAGTAAAGTGATGTCACATGTTATTCTTGTGTTGAAAGAGGAGGCTGAGTGCCGGCTCAAGTGGTGACACACCCGGCGGTCACGGTGACGTATTCCTCTCTGCTTAAATACATTTCAGGAAGGAAAGACACAAATGCATCATCATACAATACCCACACACCGGCACAGCTTCTGATTGGCTCATTTGACTCATGCTTTGAATTCCACATCAGCTTCTTTTCATTGTTTTGTGATGAAAATAAAGCAGCGGACTCATGAAAGTTATTGACTATTGTATTAGAACCATTGATTCTTTAGTGTTATAACTGCAGAGAGCAACTGGTCTTAAATCAAACCTATAAGCTCCTCACTGCAGGAAGATGACATTTATGGTGGTTTGACAGTTTAATTGTACAGATAAACATCTGATATCACAGTTGACTACAAGCCAGAAAACATTCCAGAAAGTGTTCCCCACTGGATTACACCCAGATGTTTGTGTAGCCTGCTAAAATCTAATAATGAAAAGACGGTGTAGTTTGCATTTGAATGTTTCAGAGTAAAAGATAAACGTGCCGTGCTTTGCTTTCACCACACAAAGCATCATTTAGTGCTAATGGAGGACAAATCCAAGCTAAAGCTCTTTAGCGTCAGTATTTCTAAATGGTATTTCGACTTCTTCTGATTATTCAGTTTTATTTTCACCTATGATGCTTGAGTTTCCATCCTGTATGTATGTATGTATGACTGTAGAATAAAACCATACGTTCAAATGCATCCTGTGATTGATGAATGTTTTATATTAATCATGTTGATAATTGCGTTCAAAGTGTGACCATATGTGGAGTAACGTTTCTTAGACAGAAG